TAGTGAACTTGGAGTTATTATCACATTGATCGGGTAAGGAGGTTTATAATCCATATAAAGCGTATCCAATGCTTCTAATGCTATAAAATTAGAATTAATAAACACATGAATAACAATTAACAACTTTAATAATTTCAACAACTTAAAAACTTACCATTAGGATCATTACAATTATCCATATCTGGTTTAACACCAAACGTCAAAAGCTTATCCAAATCATTCACTCTACTCCAAGTACCGACTTCTGCTTGAGAATTATTCTTTTCTAGTAATATAGTTTCCATGATGACGGCTTTTAAAGCTATTCCCCATTCAGAGGCTGCAGGGGGCCACGTTTTGCGACTGTTTAGCTTTAGTCCCATTCCAGATTTCGACCCATAATTCTTGTTAGCCGTAAAATCTTCACCATAATCAACATTGTCACTGAATAGAGCATCAGTTAGTCCAGAGACAAATGTCCCATTACCCATGAGCATAAATTCTCGTAATACATTCAGATGAGCACAAAGGTCCAAATCATGGAAAAATATAGATAGAACCGATGCGTCGATAAGTCTACAATGACAAATAAGTGTATGCCTTAGAACAAGATCAGTGACCGCACCCAATGGAAGAATGTATTCTTTATGTGCGTAAGGAGACGTTGATGATTGAATTTGTAAGAATCGTTCTATAAGTATTATGACGGGATCTTTGGTTAAAGAATCTAATGACATGAAGTGGGAAATCTTTTCGGTTAATTGTAAATCGGCCTACAATAAAATAATTAACATTAATGATATGAAATAAATTATTATAATGTTGAAATTTAAATTGTTGTACATTTTGATTCCTTTCAGTCATTTTACAATCACGAGTGTGCACGATTTCTGATCTTTGTTCTTCATCTTGAGTAACGATGGCAATAGTCATGTTGTGTAAATAGTCACGAAGTTGATCGTGCATTCTTAATTATTATTAGATAAAGGTGAGAATATACTATATATAAAATATTCGGCCGTTAAAATAAATAAGCAAAAGTTGTAATTATAATATATTTTCCACCCACTCATCTATGTCTCCTTGAATAAATAGAAATTTCAAATTTAGGTCCCAAGCGGGTCTATCAGTCATATGACTTAAAACAGCACTCGAATTGCATAAGGGATGCTCAGGTCGACAATCACGTAGCAACCTTAAGGCCTTTCCTGCCTCCAGAACACCACGTGCAAGCGCAGAACTGATGAACGTTGGTAAGAAATACTCATCATCAGCCTAAGAGAAAGAATGAGAAAAAATGTATTAATTTATGTTTTTTGTTTTAGTATGCGCTTATAAGGTCCAATTCATGCGTTAATTAATGGAAATAAAGATAATTTTTTTTTTTTTTTTTAAAAAAAAAAATTCTTATGTAAAATGTAACCTTAAGACTTTTTAAATAATAATGTCTATATGTAGCGAAACCTACTTCTATTCGCCAAAATTCATCACCATTGTCTTTCACAGAAATAGTATCAAATTCCGTATATATAAACTCTTCATTATACAAATTCATAGGTAAGAAACTGCACGAAGATGATAGTATTCCGAGCCAATAATTTAACATTTCGAAAAATGGTCTACTTGATTGATCCAAAAATGCCAGAAAGACTGCTCTTAGGAAAGGTGATCTAGCTGAATCAATTGTTTCTGCTGTAATATAGATTTCAGATAAAATTTTTGACCCAAAAGGTAAATAAAATCCTTCATTATCTCGTTGCTCTTTTTGTTTTGGTGACAACTCTGAAATCCTTGAATTAGCTACATCCTGTAAAATATCGGTTTAATTTTTAATAATGAACTTTAATAAATAAAAATTGTTCAGCGCTTATGCAATAACACTTACGCAACAGCAAAATACAGCAATCCTCTCAATTACTAATGATATATCATCCATAGCATGGTATAAATGAATAATTTTCATATTTTGTGGTCCTCCAGATTTTTCAGCGATGGAAACAATGGATTTTTGTATAAATGTGATGAAAGAAGAAAGCGAACGGCCAAATGCAACACCAGTCAGTCCATATACACTTAAATATGCAATATGAAGAGTATATCTTAATTAAACATTGTGTTTTTTATAATGTTCATTGCAAGGAAAAATGGATAATTACCGTACAGTTTTCATACATCTTTCTGAAACAATGCCCAAACGTCTGATATGTGAGCCCATATTTAAAAATCGACCAATTATTCTATTAAGGCAATAAAATTAATATATTTAAATAATTTGTAATTAAAAACTAAAATTTATTTAAGCTTACATATTCATACTCTTAGCACTAGAAGCATTGGATACGCTTTATATGGATTATAAACCTCCTTACCCGATCAATGTGATAATAACTCCAAGTTCACTA